GTTATAATGATAGGTGTACACATTGCCTCTATCACTAGATTAAAATCCGTCTTCTTGATCTTTATACATAACTAAGCACTCTCAAACCAAGATCAAGGTGCAGAGAAACATCTTGATGATACCTTTTGTTAATGTGTTAATGAACTTGCTTGCTTAATGTCATAGAAAAAGTCATCTAAGCCTCCAGACAAAACCTTTTACCTGAACCTGTATACTTTCCAATGATAATGCTTTTCAAAGATTGAAACTTAAATTAAAATATGAAAAGAAGAGGTGGGTAGATAGGGATTCTTGGTAGCTGTTCATCTGCTAATTGGGATGGTTTTTAAAATCCTTATTAAAACTACTAATGCATTTTGAAGCAAGTAAGGCTTTTGTCCTTTTTTTCTAATTTTGAATTTTTGTCTTTATCTGCACAACTACTTATCTGCTAATTTGAGAGCTACTCTAGCTTGTGCCATTCATCACAAGAACATCTCAGAGGGTCTTGGAAATGTTTCAAGTTTTAACAATCAGAGACTTAACCTGTTTTTTCTCATATAAGTTACCTGCCTAGACACACTAGGAAGGCAAACACTGAATAACAGAAGTTGAATAATAATAGTAATGAAGAATTTTGAATGAGAAATAAAACCTGGTAAAATCAGGTCTTTTGTTGTAGATTGCTGAGATACTTTACCAGTGTAAGGAAAAGAGTGTTGACATTTGTCAGGCTATCCTCCGTAAATTAGAATTACTGTTCAGGGGAAGCCTTGGCTGCTGTAACTATCCCTGCGACATTAGCTATTTTATTAATTTTTCTTTTTCTTTGAAATACATGTGGCTATTTGGGGGTACATTTTTTTACTTTATGTCTTGTATTTTCTTACTTGATCTTTATGTTCTAATAACATAATTCTTATGTCTTAACCTAATCACATTTTCTGACTTACTTGTCAATTGAAAAGAAAAAACAGGGGGAAAACAACGAGTTTCTTTGATTGTTTGTGTCATGTGTTGTTCGGAGTTTTTTAAAATGAATTTGTTTCAGAATTCTTCTGAATGGCAGAAGGTTGACAGCTTAGGAAACTAAAGCATCAGTACATCTTTTCTTAGACTATTTTGATAGTGTGCTTTATCCCTGACTTGGAGAAGGCATCTCTGCATGTGAGAGGATGGTTCATTTTCCATAGCTCATTCAGACCTTGTCCTCCTTTTCGCCAGGTCTACCATCAAGATTGCTAATTATAGTAATAGGTTTGTGAAGTGAGCACTTTTCATGTGAAAACTGGTCAAATTCATTTGATACTGGCCATAAATCCCCCATTAGTGGATATCAAGTTTCAGCCACCGTCACTTTAACCTAAATAGGAGCTGAACAGTGCAGTACTGTTTTTCTCTTGCACCCTATTTCATTTTTAATGTTTTTCTCGTGGCCCAAAAGAGCTCCCAACTGTTTTATATTTCCATTGGGTCTCAGACCCTTTTCTGCTGAAACTCAGTTGCCTATTTTCACTTATTAGAAGCTAAACCTGCCTGAGTTAAATAAGCCAGTACAAAATAGTGTCTAGTGGGCTTTAAACAGCCTTAAGCATGTTGCTTTGTTGGTTTGTTTGGGTTTTTTACCAAAAAAAAAGGCACTGAAGGTGTGTCTTGGACAGAAATATACAGTAAAGCCCATTTCCCAAATGTACAGTGTAATTTCAGTTCTTAATACTGTAGCACCTTCCCTCAAAAGAAAGGCATAAAAATATTGTTGCTTCAAAACTTACTTTGCTGGAAGAAAAATTACTTCAGAGAAAAATGTGGCTTTGGTAAACTAATTTAGTATCCTTGTAAAGGAACAAGAAGAAAATACAATTTGGCTTGCATTTTCTTCATGCTGGCACTCAACATAATACTGGCAATTTAAGAGACTTTTTGTGGTGTGGTATTTTTACACTTATTTCTACTTTTTAAAAGGAAATTTCATAAAAACTGAGATTTTCAGATTTCCATTGCTGCCTCTTTTCTGGATTTCCTGACAGTGATTTTTTTTTAAATGGAAATGCAATCAGCCCTTGCTTCATGGTGCCTTCAGTATTTCTTTCATGTCTGACCACTAAGTCCAAGAGTCACATCCTTAGTAATCCATGAAAAAATTATTGTTCTTTGTGCCCTTATAGATACATGCATTTAATTACCTTTTTCAGGATTGTTTTGTAATATCAGTGGATTTGTCTGTACTTGGCAGTCAGGAATTGCATTGTATTACAAAATTTTTTTGGCTAGTTGATGGTATTTATGTAAGTCCTAAGGCTGATTCACTGTTTTCATTAGCACTAGAACTCAGAAGAGCTGATTCAGAACCAGGCTGATTCTGACATCAGTGTTAATGACAGAATTGTGCTGACTCTGAGCAGAATTTATTCTGATTCCCAGATATGCAGGGACATGTCTCTTCACAGGTGCACGTGCAGATGTTCAAAGGCAGCTCCTGCAAATCTGTGGAAGCAGGTAGCAGTGTAGATAGGGGAGCCCTGGGTAAGCTACTGAGGCTGTTTTGGAGGTTGCAGCCAGTACTGCATTTCACATCCCTGGCTGTGCCTCCTTTACTAGTCATGCTCGCACATAGCTAAAGATAGCATGGATAAATGCATACAGCCTGTACTTCCATCTCTCCCACCAGTGTGCACACATCCTGAGTCAGACCAGGATGAGTCCCACTAGTGTTAATTGTTTTTACAAATTATATTTAGTTTACATGGTGATTTCCCTGCAGGAATAAAGATTTTCCTGTACTTTTGGAAAATATATGGCAAAGTTCATTTTGAATTGGTAAATTTTTCATTGTCCTATGCATAATTATGATATCTTCATGTATGTAGCTGTACTGAAGCTAGAGACCAAAAGCAACCCTTGTAGTCGGTCAGAAAAAGGGAGAAAGATTGGCTTATGGATGGATGTGGTGCCCTTAGCTCCCTCCTTTTAACAATACAGATGCCGGTCGTGTTGCACCACTGCTCACCTCCTGGCAACTTGTCAGTTCCATACTTTGTTCAGCACTTTGGTTTATGAGCTTTTACCTCCTGACACAAACTCCTCTGTGTCTACAGTAGGTGTGCACAAAAAATACTGTGTTTCAGGTGTCCAGCAGAAATCTGACAGTAATGTGAGGGAGGGTGGGTGGGTTTGGTTTTGGTTTTTTTGCAGGAGGAGGCACCTGTGCTTCCTTCCCAACTGCATGTGTGAAGGATAGTAAACATATGGGTTAAAAAAATCATAATTCAAATTTCTATACTGGTACTGATCAGATCTCTGTTTCTGTAGCAATGAGAACCAAAGGTGGCCTTTTAAGGCTCACAGTTCTTCTACCAATTTCCAGTTCTGCTTCAGGCTTCTTAAAGTATTAGAGTGCGTGCTTTAAACCCACAAAACTTACCTTTACCTAATTTTCACCATTCTAACCTAAGTTTCCACGGAAACAGGGTTGAAAAAGCCGCTGGTAGCCAGCAGGCAGCCAGCAGCTGAGAGTGAGAACTCTCCTTTGTCACTTTCCACTACTGGATGCCTGCTGCGTGCCAGTGTGCAAAGCTACCTAGGCTTCTAAAATCTGGATTACTTTCAATTTGAGGGGGAAAAATTAAATTAATCTACTCTTTTCTGTCTTTGGATTGTCACAGTAAATTCCAGGAGGGCAAATGGGCTAATGAGTTCTGATCTGTTCGGTTACATTGAGCCCCGCACAATCAAAGCTTTGCCAACCAACTGGGCCTCTCCTTTCATAATTTCCATGTTTTAAAAGCATTCTGTCTCAAATTTTGTGTCTGTGGACATGTGCATGCATATTTTGGTACCTTAATTCTTTATGGCCCTGTGTCTATTTAGCTACATAATTATGAGCCTTTTTTGCATACAGCATAGTCAATGTACAAAATTCCCTTTTTTGTTGTATACTTAAGGAACATTTCTGAATGAACACGTTATAAACTGATCCTCGGTTAAATATTAGGAGTAGGATGTGAATGGAGATGGCTTTTAACCAGAAGTAGATTATAGCTGCGGGAAGACTAAAGGGTCTATTTGGTCAAGACTCATACAAAACTGAGATAAGCATGCACAACCTGACAAGATCAGATTAGACCCTTCCCCCACAAATGCTTTTCCCATAAATATTTATCTACTTTCTATTATAAATAACCAGGAAATGAAAAAGGATAAATTCCTTTTTTTTTAAAATAGCTTAGAAATAGAAATGCAGCTTCAAATGTTTGGGGTAGTGATATTTAAATTATGCAGTAAATTCCAATACTAGTTGCTGTTTTTTAGATGGGAGTAAAGTACTGAAATTCTTTGTGGCAGCTACATAAATCGGCAGCATTTATAAACAAAGAAGAACTTAGTACATATGTGAATTTTTGCCTACTACTGGGTATCTTAGAATTAAATAGTTTTCACCTGTGAGAGAATAGGTGTTGACAGAGTCAGCACTGCTGTATTTTTAAGCTTGCTGGAGGCAACATTACTGGCATTGAAGTTAAGCTTGGCATTTTTTCACCCCGTCTCTCCTCCCTCCGGCCCAAGTGAATGCTCACTTCATCAATGAGAAACACAACTGAATTGCCTGCCAGATGTAACAGAGATCCATGAAATCAAATCTATTCTGCAGATTTGTGCTTCATTCAGATTGTCGATACTTTGACTTCACTTCCTCATGCAGTAATGTTAAGGGGTAAAAAACTGAAGCTGTGCACGTACCACTAATTCAGAAATGCATATTTGTTGGTGATCCACTCATCAGAATCTGAGTGGATTGCTTTTCTGCTATAATGAAAAATAGCTCTTTAGCGTTGAGATTTATAACCTTAAAAATGTACAGAATAAGATTTTTACATTAGTCTTTGAAAGTAACAAGTTTGCAGTTTTTAAACACTTTTGTTTCATATGAGAATAGTATTAATACTTTAAAAATCTCAAGATGAAAAATGTAAGTCCTTTTTTATTTTCTTTTTTTTTTTTTTTTAAATCTTTTTTTCCTCTAGCATGGAACGATGGGATAATGAGACAGATGTCTCTCAACTGGAAGGACATTTTGACATTGTTATGTGTGCTGACTGGTAAGTACATAAAAATCATAAAACTCACGTTAGAAAAATAGCTTTGCTGGAGTAATTGTACTGTGCTGCTTGCTGATGGCTAAGCAAAGTCAACAAATGAAGCACAAAGCCACCTTAACCTCAACAAATTAATATTCATCTCCATGTGACAGTTATAAGGTAGTCTTCTATCACACAGTAACTTCTACCACATTATTTCCCAAAGATTGATTTTGAGAAGCATTTCCATTTTCTGGAATTGCCTCTGTTTCATGCTTGACGTATCAGTAAATGGACGACTTAGGCAAATTGCAAATAATTATGGCTCAGTGAGGAACAGTCTGGAGAAAAGGGAGTTTATCAACACAAACAGCTCAATTAGCTTACTTCTTAGGAAAGATCTGACTATTGATATAAGGGGATATATTTTTTGTTCCCTGGAAAATCTTTCCAAGGAAAAAGAGATTTTCAAACCCTTTTTTCCACCCCCACCACATTCTGTTCCTTAAATCTATTTGACATCAATATTTGGAGGTATAGGTTTTATATTATTTACACAGGCACATGTTAATTATAAGATAATTTATAATAAGAAAAATAAGAGTACAGCACTTAATTTATGAAAAGGTAGATACATGTAGAAATATGGTATCTTGTTTAATAATTTATGCAAATAGATTTGATTATTGACACAACCCTTTTCTGATACTGCATTTGTGGGATTGTGCTGTGCTGTATTTGCTGCATGCTAGCTTTAAAAATGGTACATTACTAATTATTTGTGTTATATACATGTAGACTGTGAAAAAAATAAAGCTGTGCAAATTTTATTTAGGATAATTGATATTTTTAAACCAATCTTGCTTTCCTTCATGGATATTTGCTCTTGACCCATTAAATAGCTAAAACAAAACAAAACAAAAAAGCTATCTATGTTTTGTGGCATGTAACTATTGTGAGATGAAATTCTGAAAGCAGAGACTTCCTAGAACTGCTCAGTTCAGCAAATTTATGTACCTTACCAAGAAATAGTTAAAGGCAAAGGAAGTATGAAGCTGTCTATTGTTTTTTTAAACAATGTTCTTTTAAAATGTCTTCTTCTATTCCTCTAAAGCTTTTGTTTTTCTTTCACATTATGGTATTTCAGCAAACTCTTCTTATTTCACAAAGTCATTGGTATTGTATAGCTCTAGAGAAAATGTGTTTAGTGATCTTTTGCCTTTTTCTAACACCTATTTGTTCTCAGAATGCAACAGTGCTTTGTTTCTCTTAGCATTTAATTTCAGAAAAGTTCTTTGTTCCCAAAAAGGACAGAGGAGGGTTTCTAACTAATCGCTGATAATGTGCCTCAGAAATGCATCATCTGATTAAAATAAGGAGCTAAACAACACCATATGATTTCAGCAAGTAATTTAGTAAATGCCTTCCTCACCAAATATTAGAATGGATACTCCAGGTTTCATTGCACAGATGAAGTTAATGCTGGACAGGATTAGATCAGATTAAGTATGAAAGTCAGATCAGAGTGCTGGCGGACATGAGCAGGAGGGCAGCAGTCTTCTCGGAGGCTTAGACAAGGCTCACATATGGATGTTCTCCAGATTATGTGGGTGAAGCAAGGTCTTGCCAAGAGATTTAGAGTTAAATTTGTTCTTCACACAAATATCAAAACAACCTGGCTGTGCTGTCTCTTGTATTCTTGATACTCACACCATGTCATCCTATTTGTGCTGGGAGTACAGCAGAGTGGAGTGCGACTTAAGTTGTTTTTTTCAGTAATGTTCTGGCCTAATACCCCTCCCAGTCTGTTTGGAAAGAGTGTAGTTTCTTTAGGAAACAAAGAATCAGACATGACAGGTAAAATACATAATGTATTTGCAATCCCTGCATTTTGTACATTTATTTTGAAGCACTTAAGATGCAGGTAAGTGTATAAATATTTATAGATTTCTAAAAAATAAATAGAAATATGCAGGTTAATTTAAGGAATGTGGGTTTATTCACACATTATTTCTATTTTCTTATTTTAAGTGCTCATAGATATATGAGCATAGCATAGATATGTGTATAGCTTAATAAACATGAAAATCCCTTTATTGTTTGCTTATTTTAGAAATAATTTTCTTTGTTATGGTCACTAGGTTTTCTGGTACATGAAAAGGCTGAGGAAAGAAATGTTCTGTGCTTTATCAAACTCAAATCTTCTTTTTATTTTCATGTATTTCTCTTCAGCGATATAGAATCGGTTTGAGAACTGTTGGCAGGATTTTTGCTCTCTGAATTTTTTGGGCTGCCCCTGAAGAGGAAAAAAAAATCTCCTTTCTTCTAGCTTCTCAGCTGAAATCTGAAGTATGCAGTGATAAAAAACAGATAGAATAGATTGCATTTAGTTTAACACCATCATACAGCTCATTGTCAGTCAATAAAATCCGAGATTAGAACAGAGAACTAGAAAGCAAAAAATCTGAGTTCAAATATTAGGTACATGGATAAATTTTTATTGAAGTATTTCCAGCAAGGGTGATATTGTCTGATTCTCTGAATAGCTAACCAGTGGTACTGCTTGATCCCATTTACATGAAAACAAGCTCTATTCATAAACATATTTCAAATCCACATGGAGATTCAAGTAAAAACGTACATGATTACAGCAGGCAGCGATATGTTTATATTCATATATTTACAGTCAGAATTTCATAAACCTTGTGTGCAGGAGTGGAAAATAAGTTATTTCCCAGAACAAACAGTCTATTAGTTAACAGCTAAATTTAGTAGCTCAACTAGATTATAAAATAAATAAGAGGCAAACTATGAAAGCTAGTCATTATTTAACCATTCAGGATGTTGACAATAAAACAGTTTCATGGTTCAGCAGTTCCAAAATAATTTTTAAAATGTCAACTATTAGATAAAAATAAGTTTAAAAAATCTATATGAGGCTACACCTGGAAGAAGGATACATTAAAAAAAATACTGAAATAATGGAATCTTTAAAACATATCCACCCATTTCATATTTTTCAGTGGGAATTTTAAGGCCAAATGAGGGCTGTCAGAATTTTTGTTTTTCATTTGACCTACACCTGTGGATATAAAGTCATACAGGGTGCTGGAACTGTGAGTTTGAATAGACAAGGAGAAATCACAGATGCCCGGATGGACAGGCCAAACACAAGACTCTCCCAAAGTTTTTGAGGGCCTCAGATGTCTAATTATTTAAATAGTGTACATACTCCTCTTTATTGAGGACAAAAATTCAGAGATTTTTAATTCAAAGAGAAGTTAAAGGCCAGTAGGACTGAGACAATAAAAAAACTTTATCTTTCACATTATTGTGAAGCAAGTTTTCACAAATGATGTATTGGCAATATAAGTTTTAGAACCTCGTATTATTTTGGAAATGCATAATATCCTACTTTATTTACTGAGAATGATTCCGTTCTTAAAGTTTGGCACATGCATAAGTATTCACATAACAGAGGCCAGGGGGAGCTATCCCACATTATTTTCACTGCTGAGATTTTTGCTGAAGTCACAGGGAGTTGTGGCTTTGCCAGGAATGTAGAACTGAACTTAAAGTATTCTTTAAATACCTTCAAATATGTCAACTTTGTTTCCGCTAGTTTATTTCACTTATTATAAGGAGATCTTTTTGCAGGAATGACGTAAGACCTCTGTCTGTCCATTTTAAGCCTGATTTCTAGCACACACTTTCAAGTGCATTGGAACCTGATGACATGGAAATAAGAGTCTTTTTAGTTTGCGTCGCCCATGTAGTTGAAAGTGAGCAAAAAAATAAATGGCTCTATACATAAGACACTACATATGAATGTAGTAATATCTGAAGCACACCTGTAAACTCAACTCTTTTACCAATGACAGAGCATGCAAAAAACCAAAAAGTTCACATCATAGCCTGTAAAATATATGTCCCTTGTTGCAAGGCAGAAGATGAAAGGATATTAGCATGAAGGAAACTAAGAATCTACTTGTTTTTTTAAATTTGTTTCCTTATGGCTTACTGTTACTTCTCTGCAGTTTTGGTATAAACTTTCATTTTGGCAATTGCAACTTTGATGGCAATTTAAAATTTTAATAAAAGAGTAAGAGAGTAGAGAGGTGACAATGTCGCCTGCCTGTTCATCCAGATTTCACAGGTTAAGAGCATTGCCTAAACAAAGGCCAAATCATCAGCTGTGTTCTCACCTTTCTATTGCTATGATTGGAAACTTCCTTGCTGACCCAAGAAAACCTTGCTATTCCTGTCCTGAGCTCCATAAACATGAAATATTACCACTAAAGTAATGGCGAGCTTAAGCCAAATTTGAATTGAGGTGTGCGAACTGTGTGTGAGTGGTTTAGAACAATGCATTACTTAATTTTACTGAGCTGTTCACAGAATCACAGAATTGTTTAGGTTGGAAGGGACCTCTGGAGATCATCAGGTCTAACCTGCCTGCCAAGGCAGGGTCACCTAGAGCAGGTGACACAGGAAGTCACGTGTTGTGAGCTTTGAAGGATGCTCTCAGGGACATTTTCAGTATGCTGTGGTAATATTTAGTCATACAATTCTACTGGTAAGAAAAACTGCATGACTAAATCCCCTTGCGTGGGCCAAATCCTGTGCTGTTCCTGTCTGCAGCACAGATTATCTAATGACTTCTTCGGCATTTTCCTCATTTAAGGCATCCCCTGACTCAGAGGGAGGATAGAGATGTTCCCTGGAGTCATTGCATTGCAGTAACTTTGCTTACAGTCTTCTCTGATCTTTCTGACCAGAGTATGTGGCTCAAAAAGCAACAGTTTGGAAACCACAGTATGAGAAACTAGTTTTTATTGGACTAAGTGATGTTCCCAGGGACAGGCATCTTGGAGGGCAGGGCAACTTGGGGCAGCTGTCTCAGGTTATCTGGGTTTCCTAAGCTAAGACAAATAAGGGTCTACTTTCCATGTCACCAAAATATCATTTGGGGTTGGACAGAAAAAATTTTAAGTTCTCAGACACTCAGCTTTGTTTACACTCAGTAAACAAAGGCCTGTAGTTCTCATTGTAAAGGAAAAAGATTGGTAGCAGCAATTGTGCCCCTGTCTCATTGGGAGAAAAAAAAAAAAAAAAAAAAAAAAAAAAAAAAAAAAAAAAAAAAGAAAAGAAAAAAAAAAAAAAGAGAGAATGCTATTCAGGTCCATGAAAAGGGGATTTTAATGCTGCTAAACTGCCCCAAGATTGTGTTTCCACCACACTGCAATAATAAAAATATTATAAATGCACTTTTCATTCAGAATGTGCTTCTCTTTACATAGGATCCCAGGAAGTCTTAAATGTGTGCATGCTTGCGATGTTTCATGATGAAAAATATTAATTACTTTTCACTATTCTTTTGGGAGAGGAATCATGTATTCCACTTCTTCTGCAGGTGGTTAAGTTACCAGTGAAGTAGTGTCTTACAACATCTATCTGTATAGGGATCAACATGAGGTGAATGTCATTAAAACACCCAAGAGACATCAGAGATAAGAGAGGCTTTTTCAACTAATTAAATTTAAGCACACATGTTTTCAGTAAAGTTCTTCCAGGAAGATAAATCAAGGCTGAGGGATTGTCATGGTGTCAATTGCCCAAGTTTAAACTTTCTTGTAAGCCAGGCTATCAGGAAAATTGTTAGCTAGTAATTCATATTCTTGAGGAGAAATTCAGAAGATCATATTTTTGTAATAGATGTTCTTCAACATATAGGTATGGTGAATGTTCTTCAACATTCTACTGTATTTTCTCAAGTGTGAGGTTCTGCCAGATTTTACTAATGAAATATGGTCACTTGCAAGTTTTCTTTTGTTTTGTTTTGTTGTTTGTTCCAGAGTAGCAAAGATTCACAGTTCTTGCATGGCTGCTCGACTTTATGGCATATTATACAGTATGCTCCTTGGTAGCTGTGGAGTGTCCTTGCATTCACACATCTCCTGTTCTTGATGAAAGACCTGTGGTTGGCAGACTACTTTTTTCACTTCAGTGTTTCCATCTAGTCTTTATGTTCTTTTAGAATTTCAAACCTGGAAAAAAAAATTACCCACATCTCTCCAGAAAAGAAGTTTGAAAATAAAAGGAAGGGGAGTATATTAAAAAACCCATAGAGAATGGACAAAATGCCATGTAGTATGAAACTTGAACTTGACACAAGCTGGAAAGCAGTCTTATTACAGAGAAAATGTGGGGGGAAGAAAAAAAAAAGAAGAAAAAAAATCACATTATCTGTGGCCTGCTTGATAGAGTTTCTTATCTGAATCACCAATATAAATGCAGCCCACGGTAGTAAGGACTGAAAGGCATCAGTTGCTATCAGATGGTTGTTCACTAACCATTGTAAATGCACTCATCCACAGTAACTACATGTCCACAAATATCTAGTCAAGAGTGATTGGCACCCTGGCTGCCACTATTAGTATATACATTAAGGTACTGAGGGGCATGAAGAATGAATTATCCCCTCAAATCATGAGGTAATCACACCAAAATAGGGCTGAGCGTGTTGGCAACATTGCATGGGAAAATTGACTCTGCTGCTATCCTTGCGGGACCCATGCTGAAGATGAAGGGTTGCACTCTTGAGAGATGACAACTCTGCACAATCTGGGCCATTGTATTTCAACAGCGATGAAGAGAGGGAGGAGGTAGGGTCTTGTAAATCTTTATAAGGATAGCTAGAGATAGATATAGAAATATAGCAAATATGTATAATAGGTAAGAATTAATGCCAAATCTGTGAAGGTAGAAAGGAAAAAATACCCTTAATAGTAACACCTGAAATACAATAGAAAACATTTTCAAAAACTTCATCCCCCTTGTATATACATGTAAAATGCTAACTTTTAATGTTGATCCTCATTTCTGATACAGTATTACTTTAACAGCTAGCATGTCTGATTGGTGAACTTCAGCTATATAAAGACTTATTTCATGCTGATAATTTAGCTTTAGTTTAGATTGCATTTCATTTTATGTCTTTTTTAATATTAAAAGTACCTGAACTGCATAGAAATGTAGACCACAGTTTCTCTTTTACAGCATTGTGTAAACATATGTAATTAGCCTTGTACTTATCTGCATTAGTATCATTAGAATTGAAAACCCATTTTAATCTGGATTCTGTTCTCTTCTCAATGTCAGCCTGTTTCTGGACCAGTACAGAGCTAGCCTTGTTGATGCAATAAAGAGATTACTCCAGCCCAGTGTAAGTATGTTTCTATTTTCTCCTGAACACTGGCTTCAGAATAATTAGTCTGTGCACAATGATTGAGAGAGTAATGGAATGGCAGGATTAATGTCATGTAATACTTTAATACTTATTATGTCCAACTTCAATTGAGTCTTCTAATCTATCAGATTCTTTCCTAATCATAAACTAGGAAACTTCTTATACTTGGCCTTCTGATAAGGAACACAGTGGGTAGTAAAATAAATGAAACCGCTTCAAAGATAGCGTCAGATTATTTTTATCAAAGCGTTTCTCAAGTATTTTCCTTTGATAATAATGTCTTCATATTAAAGTAAAATACGATATTGAAAGTTTTTATGTTGGCTTCTGTCATTTTTAATCCCTTCAATTGTAACCTTTGTCATTGTGTATTTATTTATTATGAAAGAATATTTTTTCCTTTTCATTTATGTTTATATAAAATGAACAAATCACTTATATGTATACTGTGGCTTAAAACATTTTTCCATTAAGTAAGTGCTGTGTTTACATGTTTTATACCTTAGAAAGTAATGAAATTATGCTCTTCATAAAATGATTACATGTTTTACATGAGTGTCACTCAAGAGATATTTTTTCAATTTAAATCTATTGGGCTGTTTAAATCAGAGAGACTTGCAGGCAAAAAAACTCTGTTACATGCATATATAAAATATATATATATCTTCTCAAATATTTAAAAAGGGGAAGATATCAAAAGATGAAAAGGAGAAAACATTAACTAATTGCTCTAAGTAGGATTTTGAAACAAATTTTATCATTCATGTTTAACATCCAAATCTTCCAATAAGGTATGCTTTAAATTTGAAAGCAAAACATTTCGTGCTAGGAGTGCGTTTCCAAACTTTATTTAAAATTTGCAGTACTTCTGTACTTTTTGTACAAGAGATTTGCTTTGTAAAAGGAATAGAAGACCCAAACATGCAAAGGCTTAAGAGTCATTTTAGTTGTGTAAGTAATCCCATTCTTTGCTTAGAGTGATCAGGTTTCTATTCTTGGTTCTATCATAGACTTTCCTGAGTGACCTAAGGCAAGTTACTTAAGACTGAATTATTTTAATGAGCTGTGGGGCAAGGCTGCCAGGAAGACAGGAGAAATGTAACCACCTTGAGGTAAAGGTTGCCCAGATATTTCTGTCAGTGGCAGTAAGAAGAGGTTAAGCAGCTTCTGCTCAGAGTGATGCATTCTGACTTTCATGATGTATCAACAGTTGTCAAGCTGCAAGAATTTTTGGGACAACAGGCGATTTGGAACACAGTTTGGAAAGCAGATCCCATTTTAAAAAAAAATTGTTTTCAGTCCAGATCAGTGTCAGCAACTGGTTCTTCAGGTATTCTCATGTGCTGCTCAAGTGGCTCCATGAAAGGATACTGGGGAAGAAGAGCAAGAGTGGGAGGAAGAGAAGTGTGTAAGAGGTGCCCTGGTAACTGTGGAATTAGGCTGACTTTAAGCCAAGCCTGGCCTGACTCTTTAACTCCAATCAGCCAATTGAAATTCAGAACATGCCTTTGTATTTCAGAGCATATGAGCTGCACTCCTTGTGAATGTAGATGGAGTAAAGGGAGATGACTTTTTCTTGCCTGTCTTCCTAGTTGTGTTTGCTTCTGCACATTTTGATCTATAGCATAGTCAGTATTAATAACCTAGCACTTATTTGCTGTGCATTTTAGGCATAGCAAACGGATCCTACTTCTTATCAGCAAAGCTAGCTTATGAAATTCAGGCTCCATGTAGGAATTTCTGTTGCAGAGTTTTGTACCCCTATCCAAACGGTATTTTTAAAATAAATTCAGTTGCCTAATCCACTTTATGAATGGCTATATGGATGGGTATACAGTTATGGCATGGCCTTGCAAATTATTGTAATTTATAACTAAGAGAACAGCAGACTATTGTATAGGATAGGAGCTGGGAGTACAGACAACTGAAACGAGCTCTCTTGTCCAAAAAGGACGTGTTCAGCAGAGATGCCTTCAAGCATATGCCTTCGTGGTTTGAAAGACACCAAGAAAAACATATGCTCATTCGAGATCCCAAAAGATGCAGTCACAAGTATGAAATAGTTACCAATTTCACTGCTCTTATTAACCTGTATAAATCTAAGGATAATGTCAGAGGGCACTTTACTAAATGGCACTATACTCAGGCTTTTAAAGGACAAATAAATCAATAGTGAACTTATTTTCCAGTTGCAATAATTAAGAATAGTTTATGGGCATTAGTTTATGCCCAAGCTAAGGGATAAACTTCTTTTATTAAGTTCACTCTTCTACAATAATTATTTTGTCTCAAATTTAGAACTTTCCTTTTTGGAAATACTCTGACAAATTGACAAAATTGACATACCTAAATGCAAGTCATTTTTCAAATATAACTATGATACAACTAGTTTAGAAAAGTCCAGGGAAAATAATAACCAACACTAGCAACAGAAAAATAGTGGAATAAACAGAGAATAACAGATATCCTTGCAAAGCTTTCTTTGAGGAGAGATTCAGAACACATAGTCTATTCCTACTGTTAATTAGAAATTTATCTGTGGTATTTCCTTTTTCAATAAGGATGATATTTCTGGCTATTAGAATCCTTGTGGCACAGAATGATGTGTTTTGATTAACTTTATGTTTGCCTTGAAACAGGACCCTGATCATTTCAGTCATCTGGTTCCTAGTACTGACCCCGTGGACAGTTGAGTTGGCACAGGAAGAAATTCACAGAGAGAAATGAGCAGCTCACAGATTTACTGAGGGCTGCAATTTCTGAGTTTGTTACAGAGGCAAATGTCGCCTTTAAACCCATCTAAAGGATTAGGCTAAGAAATATTACATCAAGCAAATTTATCTTTAATGGCTGTATTTTATTTTTCTCAACATATTTGACTTGATTTGCCAACATTTAGGTGGTATTTATATCATTAAAATTTACTTTTCCTTTCAACCTCAGAATAAGCATTTGGTTTTTTGCATATTTCCCTAATTAAGAACAATTTTTTTTATCAAGGTTTTGATTCTTCTTGGCCTATTCATTCAAAATCCCAATGAAGTCAATAGGATGCTGTTGAGCTGAGATTAGTGCCATCAAACAAGACCACATTTAGTAATAATTGATGAGTAAAGTCATATCCAAAATATGAATGACTGTCCCATTGTCTTCCTGTAGCATTTTAGTGACACTTCAAACTATCAGAACTAGCATTTTCCTTTCTGTTTTGTTTTTTTTTTTTTTTTTACAAGTTTACTGGAAGTGTTTTTCCATCTGAGGAAAGGACATTTTGTATTTTAAACATCATCCTTTAAAGATCTTGCTAGGAGACACTTTTGAATTAGAATTAGACTTGAAATAGTCCATCAAGAGTAGAGTCAGGACACTGATTCTGTATTATATCCTGTATTTATCAGGACACTGATTACTGTTTTTCTCTTTCAAATTTAATTTAAAGTAGTCTTCAGAGAATATAAGAAGGAATGGCCTCATGGACTGCTGACTCCAGATGGGGCAAAGGAATGCTGTTGTGTGGCACCTCATCAGAGCTGCTGGATCAGTGGCCAGTGTAGGGTCTGTAGCCTTCAGCAGTCTCTGTTCACAAGGTTTAGTCACATCTGAAGCTCCCATGTGGATCATATGGTCAGTAAGCCCTGGGTAAGGGACATTTTTCCCATTACAGTGATCATGAAAATGAGGGTCTCCAGAGGAGTCTTGGCCTTCTTATGCCAGGAAGGGTTTCTGCAGAACAACATTCTGGGGAGCATTAGACGGCAGCAGGAGGAGCAGGATCCTCAGCTGAAGGCTCCCTTTGCTGCCCACTTCTGTCTGATGACATTAAAGCATGCCAAGGATGTGAGGGAACCGATTGTGAATTTCCTGTGTTTAATGTTTTTCATCCTGAGCTGAGCCTATATTCAGACCTAGCATTTACATAAGCAATTCCAGTGCGTTCGGTGGGAGTTACACCCCTTTGCACCTCTTATTTTGCCACAGAATTAAAGCTACAGCTACACAAATGAACAGAAGTTGAGTTGGTTTAGATATTGCCCTAAGACTCCTTTGTGCTTTAATTTCCCATGAGAAAGATGAGGGTAACAGCTTTTCCCTATCTCACCAAGCTGTTGTGAGAATAAATATAATGTTGTGGTGTTAATGGTTGGAATCTTTTAAGTACACATTAGCACCATAGGTACTGACATAACATTTTTATTGCTGCCTCACTGTGCATTGTCTCGGTGTACATGTGCATGTGTGAGACACAGATTTGTTCCCTATTCTCCTCACTAAGTGTCTGTGTCAGCATTGTAACTTTCCAGCATTCCTATTGAAATTCTCTGTACTGATCACTCTTTTCCTGTGGCTTACAGATTGCATTTTCTCAAGCTAAATGTACTCCCTCAGCGTCTAATCCTTTCACAACTTTTTCAGATCCCCAAAAATGTTTTTTGTCTCTTTGCTTGATTACAGCACCTCACAAATTAATCTTAGCTCTCATTAACATAGGAGTTAAATACAGGAACTTACAGTAAACTTTGTAGCTCCCCTCAGTGTGATATGCTGTTGGCTGATATTAACCTTTGTTTACAGCTCTTCAACCACTTTTCATTCCATGTGACAGAACACGGTATTCAGCCAGTTAGAATTAATTCTGCAAATAAGACTTCAAGAGATGCTCTATCAAGTAGGTTAGGTTTTGGGCAAGTACTTTGCACGGAGTGTCTAAAGTCTATCAGTTCAAGGTATAGTCATTTTTGTTTTCTTAAATACAGAAGGATGAACAAAAAATTAGGTAATGGACCATAATGTATTGCCTGGGCTTCATAAGTGACCTGATCATCTTGCAAGAACCAGAATGAGTATTCAGGAACATTAATTCTTGATTTAAATGCAATTGACAAATTTAAGGTCAAATTTAGTTGCTCTGCTCAGATAGGTTAAAATATCTTCAAAAAATTAATGATTGGGTCTGATTTGCCTCCCATTTTGCCTTGTTTTATACTGTTGTAATTCCACTGACAGCAAATGGGAGGTACTCTTCTGTGTGTGCGGAAGAAAAAAGAAAATAATTATTTACAGTCTTTGCATGGTCATGAGCTAACAAATGGATTTTTCATTGAGCGTGTGTTCTGTATGCTTTTTCTGTGTTTTGTTTTGGTAATCCACAGACACCATTATTATATGGAAAGAAGCAGATGTATTGCAGTTGGCAGTT